TAAAACTCCGCAAAGCCAGTGGGATGAGCGTGGCTCTATACCCCTACCTAATCCTCAGATGCAAAGAGAAATGGTGATCACACCTCCAGACATGAACTCCTAAGACTGAAGTTTCTGGAGTTACATGTAACTGTCCAAGCCTGGCCTGATGCTCAAAGGCTGGACCTGCTGTGCTGTCCTTCTCCCAAGTCACACATCCTTATCCCTTTAATCATGCTGTGGCAGAATTCCTACAACTGCATTGTAAGCCATAAAAGGGAACTGATCTACTAGAAAATTACCTTTTTTCTCTCTTTTGTTAATTGCCAGTTCAAAACTACAGTATCTGGGATGGGAAAGAGTGGGATTTCCTTATTTTTAGGGACTTTGTCAGGAGACAATAGCTAACCTTTGGAGGCATGTCTCCAGAGCCACCTGTGTGGGCAATTGACAGTGATGACTACCATCAGCTGCTCTTGAAGGAGTTTCTCTCTCTTCACCCCTAACTACTGAAGAAGCCCAGCCTCTTCAACTGGAGTTGAAGTTTGTGTGATATGAATACATACCCAGAATTACATGATTAATCACAATCTCCTCACCTTTCTTCCTTAAACTTCAGTCTGAGCTTTGCTTTCATATGCTGTGCAACCATAATGATACTTGCTAAATAAATGTTAGAAATACAGAAAGTATATCTCCCAAAGATAGAGCTTAAAGCCAGAAGAAACCATTACAAGCTTTATTTTGTCTTTCTGCATAATTCTGGCCACAGAACATTCAATACTGGCTCTGCCAGGCTATAACTGCTGTGTGAAGATAGTATATCTTTCTAAAGATGTCTGTCTTGATTTAAAGACTTCCAATATGTAAGGATTCACAGCACTCCTAGGTAAGTTCTTCCAGCGTTTAACTATCATCACTCTTTAAAATGTCCCTGACCTGATTTAGAATAACTTCAACTTTCAGTTCTACTTTGTTTTATTTTATATTAGTTTAGTTTAGTTTAGTTTATTGATCTGTATTATCCAAATGAGATCCTCTCCTCCATGTATGGACTTATAGACCATAGTTTCATTGCCAATTACCCTTCTTTCCCATAAAGCAAGCAGATGAAGTTTCCTTCATGTCTTATCCTGGGTAATTTCAGTATCTTTTCTATGTCATTCATCATTCATTTAAATACTTTTCGAAGTAGAGATATTACAACTGGTCAAAGGTTAGATATATTCTGTTCACTTTCAAACTTTAGTGCTTTTCTTACTTCCTTTGCACTCTTAGTGCAAATAGTTACTTCATAAGTATTTGAGATTCACATATAACTTATATAAACATAGAACATCCGTTCGAACAAGAGCCCAGGGATTTACTTTTTTTTAAACTTAGACATATTTGCTAATAAACAATTAATGTTTCAAAATCAATTCTCACTCTTTGTAGAAAACTGTTTTCTGCTTTGGACTTTTTTTTTTTTTTGGTTAGTTAGTTAAAGCATTAAGAAGCTTCTTGTGGTTTGTTTTCTTTGATTTATGTGTCGAAATCAGAAGAAAATCTTTCAAGACTTTGAAAATTACTGAAATAAGCACAGCATACTTCATCCTCAGACTTCTCATGGCAAAAGTCTCACTAGTATAATTTACTAGAGGCCCTAAAAATAAAGGATTTCCTTTCTAATGGAAAGAAACAATCAGTCATTACTTGTAGTTTCTGTCATAAGCCTGGGCAGCAATGTCACTAAATAGTAGAGTCACTTTTTTATACTGACTATTATTACTTGGGCTTTAATGATAAGATCTAGGAAGAATTCTGCCTGCTGAGACACCAAGTTATAGTCTATCAAATGAAACCAAGCTAATAACTATTCCCAGGGCAAGACAAATCTGCAGGCACTAGCTAGGTTAGTGGCTATTACACTTGACACTTAATCTTGAATATGATGGATAGGGAGTAGAACAGAGGGGAATATTGAACAGTAGAAGAAATCATTCCTCTAAGATGATAACAAACTTGTGACAGCACCTTGAACATCTTTCTTTACAGTCAAGCCAAAGCAACTTGAAATAACTTACCCTTCTGAAGGAGCCAAAGGTAAGGTTTGCACAACTTTTCTCATCATGAGTGCTTTTAAGCCCAGACGCCTGCGTCAAGCAGACTCACAGTGGGAAATCCAAGTGAAGAAGAAAGAAGTCAACCCATGCATCCATATACTGCAGCAAAAGAGGGTCTGCAGCAGCCTAGGACATTGCCTGTGGCATTGCAGGTCAGTGCCTGTTTGATGGAGACAGCGCTGAACTCCTGTCATATGTGGATATGAGGTGCTTCACACACCAAGCACCCCTTTGTGCACCAGTGTCAGCAGATTGCCACCTCATATTGTGCTGGTGGTCAGTGTTTCTGGATCACCGCTCTGGTGGAGGTCCAACAGAGCTGCCCCAGGCACCAGGAGGACAGCTTCCCAGCCATCCCCACTGCTTAGACCAACTCCTTCCAACATCTGACTTCCAACAGGAATGTGCCACACCATGAAGCTTCAGCTGTGGGTGGCACAAAACCCACAAACAGATCTCTGTGCCACCAGGTTTCATCCCAAGCCTCTGCCAGCTCTTAGCCAGTCAGTCTCATACCTATGCCCAACAACAGGGGCTTGGGTAGTGCTGACTGAATGCATGTTTCTAGCTCTTTGTGGTTTTTCAGAAAGTATAGAAGTCAGTTTTGCTCCAGTTTGAAGGCAGTATGGATCAAAGGTATATGACACTTCATTCTCTATTGAGTAAAGGGTTCCTGGAACGGCTGAGCATTCAGGAGCCGTGAGTGTCTGCTATGGAGCACACCAACACAAAAGGTGTTTGGGTACACAGGCACAAATGGAGGGGACATCACAAACACAAAGGACAAAATGGACAACACTTCCAGTGAGCAGCTACAGAGGTCTGGTCATTTAAGAGGGTGCCACTGAAGGGGGTGCCACGTTGGCACAGTGGCACCTTCGGTGACACATTTATTTCCATGCTTTTCTGCTTTTATTTGTTTGTCTAGGCAAATATCTTAAGAAACATAAAAAAAAAATAATTGTTTAAATGTCAAATATAAATGGTGACTTATTTTAAACAATGGGTGTGTTTCAACCAGCTCTTTGACATTAAAAGGCATATTTTGTCTCACAACCTGCTTAAAGCAAAACAAAAAGCTAAGCTCCAGCTCCTCACAAACAATGAAGGCAATAAATACAGTAAATTACTGTTTTATGTGAGACAATATACTAATGTTAACTGAAGCAACGGAATTAGAAAACAAACTCCCTCTGGGAACAATTCTCACACCCCTGTTTTGGAAGGAAGCAGAGTTTACTTGTAAATAATTTAATGCATTTACTCCTGCTAGACCGGACTGACAGGTCTTCCATACAGTGAAGCTTTGCTTCTCTGATAATTGCAAACTTTTTGAACTGAGAAACTTGTCAACTGCAAAGGTCTGCACAGTCAGTGTAGGACTATCTAGGAACATACAGATGTGCTATATAACACTAAATTTAGCTGTCATGCCAATCGCTATTTAATAATAATAATATTCCTTCAGACGTACTTCTGTTTATGAGCATGTAAATAATGTCTCATTCAGAGTCACATAACAATCCCTTAGCAATTTTAACAGTTGCCTACATGGAGAAGTAATAGAAAGGAAAAGACACATTATTATCTGGGTTTATTTAATGCAGTTTAGCAACTAGAATAAAAAAGAAGACAAGGCAGCTGAGCCTGTAAGCACAGCATGCTAACCTCTGCTGTGCAGCAATACAAAAGAACTGGGACAGAAACAAGAACTGCATAAATTGTATCCCCTGTTACCTGCCTCAGGAAGTTGCCTTACAAAATATTGGACTTTGATCTTGTGTTTGTTAACACTTCCTCTTCATGTATACTTTTCATGCCATTTTTTTACCTACTTCATTCACAGTGTTGAAATATCTTCTCTCAACTCACAGAAATATAGATAATAATAGATAATAATAGATTAGATTCAGAGTTTGTCGAACCTTCTTTTTTCAGCACTGAGAGTCATCATCATCATCATGGCTAGGCTTTGCGAACGAAGATTTGGGAAAGGCTCTATCCACGTTTGTTACAAGCACGCTGGTAGCTAATAAGGCCAATGTGAGGTAGACATGTCTGATTGCAAAAGGCACAGCAGAAGGACTCCTTAGGTGGTATATTCTGCAAGACTCGGTTCTTTCTGCGCTGTCTTTTCTCCTCAAGAGTGATCCTGCGTGCTTTCTCAAAGGAAGCAGCAGCGTTATAGATGCTCTGTCTCCAGGCCTCCCGATTTGAGGCCAGAGTAGACCAATGATGATGATCAATATGGCCGGGGCTGAGATGTTGTTTCAGGGAGTCCTTGTATCTTTTCTTCGGGGCTCCTCTCTTGTGGCAGCTGGTGGCAAGTTCACCACAGAGCAAGATCTTAGGGAGGCGGTGATCTTTCATCCTTGAGACATCCCCTGCCCAACGCAGCTGTGTTCTCAGCAACATGGCCTCAATACTTGTGACTGCTGCTCGTTCTAGAGCAGATGTATTGGTCACATAATCTGACCAGTGGATGTTAAGGATTGTACGGAGGCAGCGTTGATGGCAGCGTTCTAAGAGACGCAGGTGGTGGTGGTAGATGACCCATGATTCGGAACCATATAAAAGAGTGGACAGCACAATGGCTTTGTAAACATTGATCTTGGTACTTTTCTTCAAGTGTTTATTACGCCATACTCTTTTATGGAGTTTACTGAAAGCACTGTATGCCTTTGCTAACCTGTTGTCTATCTCTCCGTCAATCTTACCATCCGAGGAGATGAGGCTGCCTAGGTAATTAAACTGCTGGACTGATTTGAGCTCTGATTGGCCTGAGAGCACAGAGCTATTGTAATCAATAGCTTCTTCTAACTCCTTTCTCTATCAACCACTCAAATGTATCTTCATATGCATCCTATGTACCATCTATTCCTAACTTCAACCTTCATGTGGCCTTCCTTTTCACAGATGACTCTCAAGCACCAAGGCTACTCAGAGATTTCTTAAGACTTGAGTGGAAAAGAACTTGGAAACTGGTCGCTTGACTCAGAGATGAACAGTAAGAATTTTGGCACTGATTTTTCCCAGAGATTATTATTCACAGTTGCTTATTCCCTGAACGGTCACGGCCAATCTTGGAGACCATAGGCACAAATATGTCAGCATTTCAGAGCCTGCTCTAATCTAATTTGTAGCTGTGCAAGACTGCTACTTAGATTGGTCACTAAGTAGCTGCAAGCCTCGCTCCAGTCTCAGGAGAGGAGACTATTCCGAAGGTTGTGAAATAGCTGAGTAACCGTAGCATGTGGGGAGGCCACCATTCCCGACACAGCTCTAATGCTTATCCTTCCTGTGGAGCTCCCCAAACCACTCCCACCGGTGCAGGAGTTACCACTCTTCCTTTGCTACTCACTGCAACCCAGAGAGCTGGAGAAAGATCTGATGCTACTGCTCTTGCTGGTCTAACCCTCCCACAAATTCCAGCAGGGAAAGACAGTGAAAATTATCTGGGAATGAGCTGAATCAGCTTCTTTTGTGTTGGTGCCATGGCCGCACCCGCTGTGTGGCCAGTTCCACCCAGCACTGATCAGCTTCTGAGTAGGATTTGGGGAAAGCTTATGTGTTTGTGGATTTCCCCCCACACTGGGAGGGCAATAACCCGAGTCTGGGAGTGAAAGGACTAAATTTAGGTCTCTCCCTTGGGTTTCTCATAAGCAAAAATTGGATCTCACTACCTTCAAAGGATTCTGGAATGAGTTTGTAAAGGCCTTCACAAACGATAGAGTTGTGATGTGCAGATTCTGCTCTGTTCAGGGATTTACAGGAAACTGGCCAGTGGCTGTTGATGCAGGAGGGCCTGGACTTGCAAATTCCTTGGTCAGTGGTCATGTGCCACATTCTTCTGAAGACTGGGAGAAAAGCACAAACCTCAACACAGTCATCTTGGGATCTGCCTCTGCAAAGAAAAGCAGCAGCCCAGCAGCTGGTGGCCCCCACCTTTTACATGTATAAAGGAGAGATGTTTGAATGTGCTCCTGAACCATGTTACAACCATAACCCTAAAAGATCTGGGGCACACACACTTGAGTAGGATCACAGTGTCTTAGAACATTTTTAATTTTGAAGAGAAAAAGGTTGATGAGTTGCTTCTGGACGCTCATGTCAAGTGTGTGATGCCAGCTCAGCAGCTGTCACTGTCTTCAAGTTGCAGTATCTTCATCTCTGGTGCCCCACCCCAACAGGATTTGCACACAGCCTTTCAGAGGAGAGGAACAGATACCTGCATCAGGAGTACTCAGGGTAGTAAGGTCTTTTAGCACCCAGCGTCAAAGAAAATAACAACAGCATGTTGAATAACTGGTTTGATGTGTATGCTTCACATAGGTTAATTTAGGTGGATCATCACCCTCATGTTGTACTCTTGTTTCCTAGAAATGCCCTGAAACAGGCACATTTATGGCATCCTGCTGAACATTTCTACATTCATCAAATACATATCTCTGCTGCCATTAGTGTTTTACCTTGTGTCTGATTTAACTGAATAGTCAAACTTGAAGTGGATAGAGAATTGGTTAGACTTACTCTAATTTTTGTTATTTTAATTTCTCAGTAGGATCTATAATATACAAGGATTTGCTACGGAGACAAGAATAAGACACTGAGAGATTTTTCACCTCACAAAAAAGAAACAGCTGATCGGGGTTTCACAGAGGGGCACTGTGATGTGCCTGTCTGATATATGTGTCCTTGTGTTAAAGAGGTTTTGAAAGTGTCCCTGCTGCTATTTACTGGGTATCAAATTATATATATGTGCTTATTAAGAGAATAACATGTGAGTTTGACTATAATCATTGTAGCTAATATTGTTATACCTTGAAGAGTAAATGTAAACACTTCTCAATACATTTTCCATGTTTACTTTGTTTATGTGAATGTACTTCCTTTATAATTATGGACGTTTTCGTCCCAGGCGTACATATGGGCCTAAATTTACAGATAAGCTTAGTCTCATCAGTTTTACTGAACTACTGGATGTTCAACCAGTATATTTTTTCATATCAAGGAAAGAAAAACATTTTGAATGTGAAAAAGAAGTCTTACAACTACAAGAGGTAGCAATCAGGGCTTGAAACTCAGAAACTCTAGAGGCACACACTCAAAATTAAACAACTGCTTGACTTGATTTCAAGCTTTTAGCTCTACCCAGCCTTCTGAGGTCTGGGACAGTCCATCTGATATAAGCCTGAATCATATCTGTATTACAGTGTTTTAATTATTACATCTCAGAGTTGTCACAAGAATACAAATATTCTCTATTACCAGTTTTTTCAGTCAGAGACATAAAAGCAAAAATCACCTATAAACGTTAAACCTGGATATATTCAGATTTGTGCATCCAAGGTAAAATATTCCTGGAATTTAAGAACAGCATTAAACTAGCTATTATCTAATATACAATGGCAATATGGGCTTAAGTATTTTTCTGATTTAATTCTTGCTTCACCTCCAACAGCTGTGGTTTAGTAAGGCGTCCAACCTCGATAAAAGTAATTCCTGTGATAGAAGCTATACTACAACACTTGGCACTTTGTTCTAATGTTAAAAACGTGTTCCATATTTCTCATGGAATTTGTTTAGCTTCTCCTTCCAGCCATTAGATCGTGTTATGTCTGCTAGACTGAGAAACCCTTTATTATCAAATTTTGTTCTCATTTTTATATATATACATATATATTTATATCAAATAAAATCCTTTATGTTCTCCCATATATCTTAATACTCTAGGAACTCTGAACTCTTCTTCTCTCCACTAAATCATGAGCAGCAGAACTGGGCACAGTAGTTCCAGTGCAGTGGTAATTTAACCTTGGCAAATGAAGATTTCCAAAATGGCTTTTTGACTGCAACATTGCTGTCACAACTCTTATTAAGCTGACTATCCAACTGAACCATCTAAGACTGTTTCAGACCATGACCTCAATTCTTTATGTATTATTTTCCTTGTTCTTGTGTTCACAACATTACATTTTCACATCCCAAAACATTTTGGTTCACCACAACTAGCTTACTAGGTCATTCTGTACCAATGGCCTGTCTTCTGTGTTATTTGTTTTTCTTTCAATCTTTGCACCATCCAAAACGTATAACTTTTATATCCTACCCAAAAAATTACTAAAAGCATCATAAGCAGTAGGCCAAGTTAAATGATGATTGCAAATGCTCAGTAAAATCAGAGTTGCCTGATTTGTTAGTACAGTATCAGCTCTATTTTTGTCTGCTCTTTTTTTCCCCCACTGTTTCCTAGCCAACTTTAAAATTTATTATATACATGTTATTTGGACTTGCTGATTTTAAAATGTATAATTCTGGTAGCTCTGTTTATCATCACTCTTCCTCACTCTTAAAGTGGAAAGTTTCAATCAATATATAGCACTATCACATATTTTTCCTTCAAACATAAATCATACATGCTTATTTAGCATTTTTGCTATTTCTCCATTGGTCACATTTTTTTAGTAATCTCTCAACACTGTCATTTTGATTCCACTTGCCCTCAATATTGCTAACATATTCTTTTTGTTACCTTTTAACTTCCCTGACTTGTTTTCTTCCTGACTTCTTTTGCTCTCCACCTCAAATTTTTATACTGCTTAACTTCCTTATTGTCACTGCTATCATCTTTCTTATTTCTTTGTGTAAGTAGATAGACAGCTTTAGATACATACATGCTGGGAAAAAATGAGAAGTATTTTATATTACTATAATTTTTACAGAAGATTGAATTTCCCTTTAAGCCAAAGGTTTTTTTAATCCTCTAGACTTCCTTTTTGACTTGGAGAGTGGTGGAACCACTGGTAAAGTCAACCAGTAGAACAGCTTCTGGAATAGTAGATCAACTTCTACTGCTTCTTCTGAGTTATTATTTGTATTCTGTTTGCTTCCACCTCCATCCCAACTTCACATGCAGAGGTTGTTTTCCATGTAGAAACACACATGGCAGCAGGGAGAAACCAGCATGGAAGCACTAATGAAACAGAACTATGGTGTAGAACATGTAATTAGATGTGAATTTGTAGTGTAGCGTGGCAGTAAAAGAGTGTAACTGACGGAAGCATCAACTATGCAAGAAGACATATAGTGTAACATTATTTCCCTATAGGTCTGCTCTGACCATGGACAAATCATCATATTCAGTCTTGGGCACCTCCTTAGTAATTTAGAAGGAATTCAAAGAAGAGTGACTAAATGATTACATGCTGATCAAATAAGACTGAGGCTACAGACACGTGAAAAGAGCTCAAGGCTTGGGCCTGGAGCAAGTTGTACCATTGCATCTCCATACAAAGAAACTAAGCATGATTATATGTACACAACACAATCTAAATACATAACTCTGGAATATATATCTACAGAGACTTACACTTAAAAATTTATATTAAAAGAATGTTCAGATTGCAAAATCAAACATTCAAGTGGTAGGAAATGCCAGCACAATTTTACCTTTGTCCCTTTGTGAATATTCATGATGGTACAGCCTGTAGCTGTATGATCCATCAACAATGTATTTTTCCATACTCACATCCTGGCTTATGTTTACCTCCACTTGTCTGATCCCTGTTTTGGTCTTCTGCTTGCCACAGCTCCTGCTTTTCCTATGTCTTATCCTCTCCCCCATCCACTGTGTGACACTTCTTCTGTTTGTCCATAATCCTTGCTCTTTAAGCTTCTCTTTTTGCATGTACCTCTTCCTTTTTTTAATCTTCTCTTAGCACTTCCCACCTTCCTCATCTCTCCACATTAGTCAGGTCATTCTTCTTTGCCTCCTACAAACATCATAGCAAAGGGAATGCTGACAACACACAAAAGCCCAATTTGCTGCTCTCATGCCTGATATTCAGGCCCACAGAGGAATGAACAGCTGGAACAAAAATATAAAGACTTTTTCTACTTTTTCAGCTGTCTTAAAGTAAGCTCAGGCACTAAAGGGAAGGCATAGTTGTGTCGGAGCTCTGTTGTTGAGCTTGCTGAATTAAGGTAGAAATTTTGAAGAATGAAATCAGCATAACAAGGGTCTGTCAAACCTGCGTAAGTAGTGGATTTTTTCCCTTGGAATTGCATAGTTTGACAGGGATGCTAGGGGATGACAAAAAGCATAGGCCTAGTGCTAGGGGTCATCTTCCCCAGGAACTAAAAGTCAAGTGTGTGCTGCAAAGCAGCACAGCTTCTCAAGAGAAAATAATCTATTTTTTTTACTCTTGTGGTAGATTTTCTCCCCTTGATCCCAGTCTTAGAGAAGGCTGACTTGTGCTGTTTTATACTCTGCAAAGAAATAAGTTCAAAACATTCATGTAGAGACTAAACATTCTGTCCAAATGGTCAAAGGGCGATGTATCAGCATGGAGCAAGACTAACAAGAAATAATGGCAGCCGTAACTGTAGATGGGTCTAACAGCCCTACCCAATACCATGGAGAGAAAAACTGGCGACACAGTGGCTTAGGGGAAAACATAACACCCTACAAATATCTGGCAAATAGTGTGGAAAGGATGGACAGAAATTATTTAGGATTCCCTGAGTGGAAATTAAAGCATGAAACAGTGGTATGAAATAAGCTCATATGGGAACTAATGCAAACCCTTTAAATTTTTCTCTGAGCAAAAATATGAAGTGTAGCATGGGGAATATGAAGTGTACCATGGAGGAGGAGTTGGGCTGGATGATTTACTAGAACTTTTCCACCTCTTTTTTTTCTGTAACTAGTGATAGAAGGTTTACCAGTGACCAAAAAGAAAAAAAAAAGACAGAAATTCCCTCCCACTGTTCATCCAGTCTCATTAGGTGTCTCATTAGGTGAAGACTCTACTCTCTCTATGTATCAGAAGAGAGAATGTATCAAGATGAAGAAACATCTTCAGTCTGTAAAAGAATTGCAGATATTATGGTTTAGCTTGCAGGCCAAAGGCAGCCAAGCTTCTTCTTGTAACTGAAGGAACATTCAATGGAAATTCACTACAAGAAGATTAAATAAAAGCCAAGACAATACCTTTACTGCTGTGTAATTTATGCAGTCACTCGAAAGAAAAAAAAAGTCCAACTGTATTTAAATGGCTGCATTAGAAATAGACAGGATTATAGTTTACAGCTTTTATATTGCTTCTACACTTTGTAGAGAAATATATTATATAAATTTTCAGTGATAATTTAAGGATTTAATTTCTAATCTAATCTTCTAGGTGAAAGAGCCTTTAGTTCTACACACCTACATTCTTTTGGATGGGTGAGGACAGCATGAAAAGTATCTCCTAAAAATTAATAACTTGCAGTCTGCTCAAATTTTCCATCTCACTCTTTCCTCCCTTCCCAGTTCTCTAAGAGACCCTTATTTTATGAGACTAAATAGCCTTAGAGTGAAACAGTTTACACATTCTTAAAGGAAATTATTTCCTGATAGCAGGTTCTTTG